TCTTCTTTCTTGATGGTCATAGGGTCCTCTGTTTTTGGACTGTAAGATTAACTACTTCCCCATATTTATTACAAAACTTCAACCTTTACAATTGTAACAGTTGCACTTAGTCATAACAATTACTCACTATCAAATCATAAGAATCATATCCCCATCTCTTATTACCAGCCCCATCTAGACAAGATGAAAACTATTCAGTAGCACTCTAGTTTTCCCCCCCACACTCTTAAACTAAACTCTCTCTTGAAATCCTGTAAACCAGTCACTCCATGCCTATATCACCCCTCATTTTAGGTAGTCAATGTCTAAGTTGCTTGTCCCTATAACCCCTGTATACAGAGGGGATAGCATTGATACATGATGTGAAGACTCCTTCCCTTTCTGTTGGTATTTTGGGCTACTACCTCCATGAACATAGGTCAAGTTCATCAAATTGTAGTAGCACTTTACCCTCGTTTCCTTTATTTATCTTTTTTATCTTCCGCTAGTCGAGTTCTGATTATCAGGCCATCAAAGCTAGGTCAAATGGGTACTATCTGTAAGTTTTGGCATTCTTGTGCATCTCCCTTCACTTTCATATCAGCTGGATGCTTCACTCTTAGCTCTATCCCTCTGTGGCTATGTCCTTGTCTATGGGCTCAGTTGTCCCTGGGTCTTACCACACTTTGGACCAACCAGTCCTTCCTCTTCTTTCTCTCATCTCCAAGTCAACAGGAATCTATGGAACATGGTTGAACCCAACCCATTTCTTCATTGTTGCCTTTCCTCCTCTCCCACTCACCAGTAGATCAATGTGGTTGCCAGCAAGCTTACATATCTGTTCCTGTGTTCCCTTTGAGATTCAGTTTTAGAGGGGCTTTTCCTGAAGGGACTTGATTGCTTGCCTTGATGGCTTCCCGGTGAACAAAGTGCTTATTCTTGTAGTAGTCAATCATACTATCATTTTTGTTTTGGGTTTTTCCTGATGGTCTTTCTTTGAAGATGTATCTTCTGTCACTTTAGCTGTTCCAGGTTGGTCTGCTTGTCCTTTCTAGTGGGAATGTTCCACCTCAATTGATTCTAGATGGGGCTAAGGATTCCACCTAAGGTCCTATATACTGCAAAGGCTCTGTAAGAGGCCTATTTCACTGGGCAAGTTCTAGAACCTCTTTGAGGTATT